TAAATTTCTGATGGAACCGGCATCGCGGCATTCGCAGAGGCGCACACGTTTCTAAGGACTCCCCGTAGATCCGAGGACGTGGCGGATAGAGCAATCGTTTCGCCATTGTGCGCGCCTGGCAACTCCTCACCAATAATGGAAATGGAGAGGGCATTCGAGTAGAGATTGCGCCTGATGGTAGATTGGTCCGACATCGTACAAAGCTCCGTAAAGAGACAACGCGATGCCTCTATACAGATTGTGATCCGCTTTTTTTCCCTCCTCCGCTATCCCGCCTTTTCAAAGCGAAACATCTTGATCTTTCAAAGGGCAAAGGATGCTCCGTCTACGGTTTGGCTAAGTCTCTCGCAGGGCTTTTGTGCGATTTGAGACTGTAGATTTTTTTGAATCATTGAATTCTGTGAAATCTCTACATTTTTTTGTATCACTAGATTACTAGTCCGCTGAGAATCTTGGATTTCGATTTTGTTAAATCTAGATTATTTTGATCTATAAGTGTCGGATAAATTTTAATTTTTAGAGTATATAAAGTTTCAGTCCATTTTCTACTTTTTCTTGTGATTATAGATTCTTAGTTTGTAGTGAATTCTCGCTTGTGATAAAAATTGGTCGCACGTAACAGAAAGTAACTTTATCGGGGAAATGCAATTTCGGGGGAAAATGCCGCTGTTCGTGGTGACGTTCGGTAAACTAACAACGTTGCAATCGGTTCTTTCTCGTTGGACGTTTCTCTATTAGTTTGTTTGAAAGTCTTTTCCTATAAAAACCCGCTGGGAGACATTTTGTTCCACAAAACGTGTTATGTCCGGAAATGTCAAACTTTACACGAAATCTAGGAACTTTTTCTCCTCGCTGAAAAGTAGGGATCATCGATATATCAAAAATTTGACAGCTCATAAGCAGAAAGTTGTAACTTATAAACAAGATAAAAATAAAAAAATATGAAACTCGTAAAGTAACATCAAATGTATTTTAAGTAAATTGTTAACTTGTAGATGTAAAAAATCTAATAGAATGTATTCTATTTTTGAAAACAACGTTCAATCACATTTGTCAAACATTAATCGAATTAATAATCGGCACATTTTGTTCGGTTTTGCGGATGATCAAAAGTGTTCATATCCGTGAAGATAAGCGACAATCATTTGTCTTTTGAAGATTCAGTCGTGACAGTCGAACACCGAGAACGGTGATAACGCGTAAAATTGGGAATCATTTTTGCGAGCAGTTTTCTCTGACGCTCGCTGCTTTTTACGCTCACGCGTAACATTCATGTGTACACCCGGCGCCATCACTTCAGCAGCCGATAAAATGTGCGATGGAACGCGGTTCCGAAGCGGAAACGGGTTTTTAATGTTTATTTTGAATCACATTTGCCCCGCGCGTTCATCGGCCGAAATGAGCATTTGAGAGATGATTTATAATCCGGGTCGCCGCGCGCGCGGACGAAATCACCGGCTCGTTTTCATTGCCCGCGCATTTTTTTTCAAACCGCCGAGAGTCATCCTCCCTTCCCCTCCCCCTTCCTTCTCCCTCCTTGCCCGCTGCGCCCCCGTCGTTATTTAACGTTTTAATAGCAAAACAAGAGGGAATGGCAGAAAACATTTAGCCGTTTCGACATTCACTCATGTGCGTTTAATCGCCGCCAGATTTCCGCGATCTTTCGCTTTTTATGCGCGGAATCTCGCTCGCGGGAGATTTGATCGCGTTCTTTTTTTCCATTTACATATGCATAAACGTGACAATGCGGAATCCGTGTATTATTCGTTCGCAACGAAGATTGTAGGTACGCGATGTATCGCGGTTGCAGCCGCACATATTCTCCGTTTCTATGGATTTGCCCAACATCCGTCGACTTAGCGGTAACTGTACGAACTAAACTACGAACTCCAAGACGTCACGTATTAACCAATCGGATCGGTTGGCGGTGTCAACGCTTCTCCACTGTCATGTATAATACAATGCGAGTAATTTTGAGCTTCGAGTTCAGACGCGGTCACGTACACACAGGAATTACGTGAGACAAACTACGTTGCTCCGTGCGTGATCGCGCGCCAGGATGTGCTCGCGCGTTGACGTTTATATGGAATGTCCTGGCAAGGTGTTATACTATACTGGCAACATAACGGAGAGACTCTCGATATTTCTACTTCGATTTCTACTTACATATTTTATATTATCCTATATCAATAAGAAAGTGGTGTAAAAATGAAAAAAAAGAAGAAAAAAAGGGAAAAAACGATACCGTCATGCATTTTAAGAACTGTACAATTACCGACGTTCAACCTCAATTTTTATCTTTTAATTATGTATCTGTTAATTATTAAAGATTAATATAACTTTTACGCAGTTAACTATTACGCACTGTCAATTGTGCTGTACTCTCAAAGCTCTTTTTATTTGTTAATTTTATTATCGAGAGTCCCTATATAGTTATTTATCCTTTTATTTTTTATACTTTTAATTTTAATTGAATAATGTACATATTCTTTGTACACTTGTAAAATGCACGAGGAAATTTGAGGTAAAAATCTTTATGGGAGCGTTCGACACAGCATACCTACAGTACGCGTCTGCCTGTTTCCGAATACACACCACGTGCGTGTCGATACACATTGTCCCAGACACGCTCTCTTGCCGGAGTTAAGCCACGTGTGGGGGAAGGGAAAGGGGGGTCTCTACCGCGAAACTACGAAGTTATTGGCGACATATGCGAAAGTTCGTTTAACCCCTTCGTCCTTTCGATGAATATGCAAAAGCGGCGCCGAAACGAGCCGACGATGTTCCAATGCTCGTCGTCGCTCGGAGCAACGTGAAATTCGTTTCGACGATGCATCGCACCGATTCGAGCAATTAAGATAGATCGATGTTTCAGGTCTTTTGAGTGTGCATCAAATCGCTAGTTAGGAATGTGATATACGGGGAATACGAACTACCATGAAATGCTTTATCGTGCAGTTAATGCGTATTCTCGACGAAAGACATTCCACAGATATTTATATCATTCGATTTTATTCATCGATGTTTAATTACTGTTATTGTGTGTTGTAACGGTTACTTAAACTATATAATTAAAACCAATTTAATAATTACATTAGGTTTTTATATCTTTAGGTTAGGTTAGGTTGGGTTAGATCGGGTTAGGTTTGAATCACTTTTAAAGTAATTCAAATTGACGTAGATTTCTAAATAGGTAATAATAAAATATCTTTTTAAAAATGTTAAAGACTTATTGTTTCAAAGAGCTGTTAAGCAGGTCCTTCTGGTTTGTACAATGTATTGCGCGATTTTGTATAAAATAATAAGAGATAAACTTTCCAGTTTGAAACTCGCAGGCCGGATACCGCTGCCGGAAATGTCAAAGATATTAAGTATCCTCTAAGTATTACTTCTGCTCGGGGAAAAATGCCTCTTCTCTTCGCGCGAAAGAATGTTCGCGTGGTAGACAGGTTCCATTTCCTTGGTCTCCGAAGAGATGCAATGACTCTCAAATAAGGACAAGGCCTTGAGAATTTTCGCTGCGCAAAATATTTCTCGCACCTTCATCGATATTCCATTTGCGGCCTCGGGAGTCACACGTATTTACGTAAACACACGAGAGCTAACTCAGTGTGGTATAGCGGCTATGTATATCTGGAGGCGATTCTGCAGGACCTTGTTCAATTTTTCTATAATCTTGAATAAATCTTTAAAATAGCAAACTTTAGATTGTTAAACTTTATTATTATTATTATTATTATTATTATTAAATATTAATATTTATATTTTGTAATTATTGAATTATAGCATTTATTTCGATTTTAAAAATTTTAAGCTTTTAAGACTACTAATTTATAGATTATTGAATTTCAAGAAGATGCTCCAAAATACAAAAACTCGAAAAACTTTTTTATCGCTAAAATTTCAGTCAAAACTTTAGATCTTAATAATCATAAATAAATATTATTAATTCGCATGGTAAGCTTGTATAATTAGTATAATTATTCATGCTAATAGTGCCGATATATTCTGTTATTTAAGTATTCTGTTATTCAGTAATTAATGTTTTTTTTATAATAAACAGCTCAGGAATGCAATGCATATTTATATTGCAGTAACAGATGGTCAATAAAAATGAAGTTTCGGCAAACAAACGCGTTATTGATCGCAAAACTTGGACGAATTTATGTTTACGTTTATGAATATTTCATATATATTTTTTGAATATTTACAGACGTAGGTTTTTCAGGGCATTTACTAATACGCATGACACGCGTATTTGTTGAGGTAAAATATTTGCAGATTCCAATATTGCGTACAAAAATGTACATAATACTGAAATCGTTATGAGCAGTGAGAATAATATTTTGTACACGAAAATTCCTTCTTCAATTTCTCTCCAAATTCTCTGATTATTTTTTATCCCTTTCTCTTATTTTACATTCAATTAAAGGCTACATCATTTCTTTATAATCAATATAATATAGTATAATTATAAAAGTAATTATATACTACAGTTTAATTATAAAAGTATTTTCAATTTAATTTGTTTGCCAGACGTGACCACTTTTCCTCTATATTTGTGACGTTCATGATATATTCCCTCTTCTTTCACACTCCCATGCGAACTTTCCGGTTCATTCATGAATATGGAAAATTAGACTTTTCGGCGGTTTTTTTTCCCCATCGCAAATTGATTCCACAAGTGGTGCGTGCATAGTATGGCGATTAATTCGAAGAGAAAAAGATGGATTTCAATAATACTTGCATGCGGAAATTAAAATTCGCTTTTAGAGTAAGTATAAACGTTCGCGAGTTACTGGAAAAAAAGTATGTCGCGACGCGACGGCGAGAACAAAATTGCCATTCGGAACACATTTGTAGAATTACCGCATCATCAAATCATTAAAATCCCCAAACATTCGTATCTTTATTCTTTAACTTTTTCCTTCTTCTGCAAGTTTTAAACTAAGTTCCACCGATTAGATTGTGTGATGGAATTTTATATATAATCCACTTACCCGGTTTTCACAAAGTTCGCAAAATACTGCATGATACTCTCCGAGAGTGCCATTTCCAGTCTCGTGTAGTTTTTCGGAAAATGGCCAAATCCCTCCACCCACAATGGTGCCCCGAAGACGAATGGAAGCTCTTCGCCGTGCACTGAGCCCATCTTCTGTAAACAAAACAAGAATAAAGTTACGCGACTTCTCTGCGTTCTTTATGTGTGTAATCAAAAAATAAAAATACTTCTTAATTTAAGTATAATATTACTTTTTAATTTAATACATAAGTATTAAACACAGTTTTAGTAGAACAAGTAAAGAAAGTGTTGATATTAATTTGGACAAGAGAGAAGACGTAAAATGTATGTTGAAGTTATTAATTGTAGTAAATGATATAACTGATAGATAAAAATGGAGGCGTTCTCTGGTCTGCTTTAATTGCGTAATATAGCGTTGGCTATAAGTCAGAAATAATATCGCTTAATGGCCGAGATTTAGAAATTGTCGTCGTGAGCGCGAGCTTATCCGCAAGCTCGATCATCGCGGACACGTCAGATGCGATTCAATTTCACCGACGTCTTCAGCGGAGAATTACGTTCTGGCTAAAACGTTTATAGCTGACGTTAAGAACGACCGTCAGTCCAAATTCGATAAAGCATTCGAAGACGCAGACTGTAATCTCTCAATCATTAAAATATTTTCATATAATATACATAAAACTTGCGTAATTTCCTGAAATCAGAAAAATCAAATGCCACACATTACAAATTATTATCCTTAAAATATGTGATTGCGGAAAATCCTTCAGATATAATAGACTTATGGATTTCACAGAATCTACGAATTCGGAGATACCAGACTCCCGGAATCGATCTCCGCTGGCGCACAGTCCGCTGTGCCGAGGAAGCTATCTGTTCCAGCGAGCACTGAAATGGAATCGGCGATTCTAAGGCGATTACGTACGTACACGTCCGTGCCGAATGGCGCACGAAAGGGCATTTACCAAGTAGACGAGCTTAGTTCCGAATCGGTACTGCAGCGCGGGTTAAGACGCTGCCCCAATAATAGAGAGAAAGAAAGTGCCATGAGAGCGAGAGAGCGAGAACGATAATCAGCGCGGGAGAGAGAACGAGAGAGCAATGTTTGTTCGCTTCTTAAAGCGATAACAATGTATACAATGAGGAATAAATTAAGAAGACGGCACAAAATAACAACAAATATAATATATAAAGTGATATAAAGATTAATGCAATAAGAAAATAGAAAGTAATGAGACGATATAAAATAGCAATGTGAATATAAAATAAAGAGCAAAGAAGGGGAAAGCGAAAGAGGAGAAACGGATAAAGGAGGTAAAATATGGAATGCAGAAACCCAAATCCAAAATGTCCGTGTCGGGTATTCGTCACTGTCGGAACGAATCCCCGAGCTTTATCGAAGTTGTTTTGCCAACTAGGTTCCGTCATTGTCGAGAGCGTCGGCTAACCGGCAATGTACGACTGCTACTGATACCATTAATTTCATTAAGGTACACTCAGTATGTCCCGGCGAACTGGGGCGATCCGCTGGCGAGTGATCGATGCGCCGCGATTGGGAACACGGAGCCTCGATTTTCTTCTGCTGCGGTCATCCAGAGTTTGATTTTTCAACTAAGAGTCGGAATTCCTTCTTAATTGCGCAACGGAAAGTGGAGAGCTCGAGGTTATGATGAGATTGGCTATAAAAGCATCTGAGATTGGATTACCGGAATATTCGATATTCCATATCCGACGGCGATCAAGGGTAATGGCCACATCTCGTTCCGATTACTCGCGCATTTGTTGGTCCCTCAGGTGTATATAAATGGCCCGGCCGCCGCCGCCGCCGCTCCGCGTTCCGATTTTCTTTGAGAATGGATTTTCAGCGATTTGTCCCGGCCTTTTCGCGTGACATAATAAATCGACGCCGATGACCTCCCGGCGCTTGCGAAAAGCCCGAAAATTGGCGCCGGGCGTGAAATTAAAACGAAAAAAAAAAAGAAAGAAGCGGGATAGAAAGAGAATAGAGCGCGCGCGCGTTCACGTCGCGCTTTCAACCCTTTTTGGCACAGGTCTCGCGGCCGTCCCCGTAACTTTTAGTTTTTATTCTGCAGTTCTTTTTTCGCTCCAATTTCGCTCCTCTTTTCGACCTGAGGTTCGTCCACCGTATGCGCGCAACGCTCAGCTGCCATAAAGTCGACTTCCGGGATGTCTGGCATCGACAATCGCAGTTGCGAGTGCAATGGCCGAGCAATTTCAATTTTAACGCCCACAAATGGAGGACAAATTTTATGCGCAAGCAGTGAAAAAATAGATGTTGTTAGCGAAATTTGTTCCTGTTATTTGTGAATTACTTCGTCAAATTCAAATTTATCTTTTATATAAATATCTATCAAAGAAAGAGATTAAAAAATAGGCCAAGTCATTTATTGGTTCAAGAATGAAAGACAAAATTAAGCTAATCTATTATTAAGATAATTTCTAATTTCTTTAACTTAAATTATATTTGACGAGTTAAATTGCATTAGCATTGAAATGGCTAAAAGTACTTGAACTTCTTTGCATTTTTTTTTTTTTTTTCACACGATTTCAGATACCGTAATAAAGACATCTTTGTTGAATAATGTGAATTTAGTAACAGCATCGGTAGAGTAATAATATTAACATACTTTTTCATGCGTACCTCAAGCATAATGAGCGTTATCATTTCTACTGCCGTACGCAGTTTCATCTAATTTTAGTACCTTCACTCGCGGGGAATAAGCGGACTCAGTGTGTAGTATCATTTTTGACTTGACCATTGTTCTCCGCGGGAAAATTTCCACCGACCTGATTAATCCAGGTGGTCTTGACAAACGTCAAGAAACGCGCGTGAAATAACTGGTTTAATGAACCGGAAAGAATGACCAAAATTATTTTATCTTTACTAAAAATGTATTCAGCAGAAATTTAATCTCTAAAAATTGAATTCTTCAAAAATTTTAGAGCTACCAATTAGCAGAATAAATCATATTTAATTGAATATAATATATAAGACAATCATCTTCTTAATACAACTTAATTTTTATAAATCAGAAAAATAAGTTAAGATAACAAAATTAAGAGAAATATGAATTAATAAATTATCTATATTTGAAGTTATTATACATGTTGTTTTTATTTTTTTAAAAATAATGATTTTAGAACACTTTTTAATGACAAAATAAAATAATAAACATTAATTACATGCTAACCACAAATATAAAACAAATCTAATAGAAGTTAAAAAAATTTTTACCTTAGATCAAAACAAGAAAATATAAGAGATAAATATTATGAAAAAATTATAGTCTTATTTTAGAGACCACGATTTTTCAAGTTTTTGTGGAACACACATTATTGCAGTTTTTGGCGTTTGACACTCACGAGTGCAAAGAACTATCGTCGACGTTCAATGCTGTTCCGACTTTTAAGATATTATTCTCTCTTTCCGGGCCTTTCACGGACAAAGAAAAGAGGGAGAAAGAAGGGCAAATGCAGGGGAATGCTTTGAGTTTTGCTGATCCGCGCTGCGCTACAACTTTAGCAGAGACGTATTCGTGAAAACGGGGAAAAACAATTCCGCGAGAAGGGCCGACGCGACAAAGGCGGAAAGGCAGATCGGTTAAATGTTGAACGAGAGAAAACGCTGGCAATGCTCTCCATTATTAGAACTCAGCCTTTTCGCTCGCGCGCGTTACGCTAACGACTAACGACTCTTCGACAGCGCGGCCTTCCTTTCTCTGCTTTCCCGTTGAGCAGATAAAAATTTTCGGTTGTACGAATCCCAAACATGTGATAATGTAATTAAAATTATTTTTTAATACACTTTAACATTGCATATACGTTTTTTTTATCACCTACATTTTCTTCCTGATTTGTTTAATTTTCCTTATTTCTCATTTTCTTCTCTTTACTTACTCACATTTTGTTGTTCACGCTATCGCTCATGCTCCACTAGGAAGATTAAAACATTTAAAATTTCCTTTTCTTGCCGGCGCGGACGTTTGTTACCTGAATATTTGCCTGGCGTTGCGTGGCGCGAAACATTTTTCCGCATTCTCTCGCCTTATATGCAGAATTGTCGTAAGCGTAAAAGTTGCTCGCTGTTATCCGGCGAGTTTGCAGACGCGCAAGAAACGCACTGTTAATGCCGCATCTTGGCTGAAGAGCGACTCCCGAGGTCGCATTACGCCGCCTTTGTAACGTCGTCGGTCTTAACAGCTACGAAGCGACGTCGGCGAGGATTACGGGACGCCCGCGTCATGTCGGAGTGACTTCGCGGACCTTCTTGTGCGACCACTTAGCCAACGTGTGTTTAACGATTCGATTATAACAACTAATGTATTCATGACTTTTCTAACGATACATTTCAGAAGTTTCCAATTCTACAAATAGCTCAGGTTAAAGTCAGCTTGAATTTCATTCGAATATATATATATATGTATTCGTTACCTCTGCTCTGACTCAATTCTGTATGTTGATGATTTCTTCGTCACATAGTATGTAAAACGGCTCAACTTTCTGTGCAAATTTAGGATTTCAAGAGATGGCAGAAATACAAGTGTTTGTATTATAAAATAAAATGTTTTTTAAGTAATGAACAAGAGCAAAAGAGAATATAAGGAATCGTGAGAGAGACAAAATACTTTACGTTTTCTGAATTACATGTCTATTTATAATCAAGATTTATTTTCTAGATCACTTACTCCAAAATCTTTGTAATTATGCAAACGGTATATTTATAGATACTGTTTTGTTCCACTTGATGCAACATCCTGGATTGTTGTAGACCGGCTATAAGCGTAAATGTGGGAAGAGATTTTGATTTTGGTAATACGAGAGAGCATGAAATTCTACGATGTAATCTCGTTGACGCGATTGGACCTCCTTTTCGCTTTACCCTTACCTCAACCTCCCCAGTTCTTGGATACCGACAGGATCACGACGGCATTCCTGACGTTCCGCAGATGCTGGCAAATTTCAATTCGTGCTTCGGTTAAATCGTGTCGTCGTAAGAATCAACAATACGAGACACTATCGAAAATAACGTTAACATTTATTTTGTACTGATAGCAATGAGAATTGTCGATCGTCAGAAAGTTTTATCATAATTAATGTAATTTGTAGAATAA